TGAAAGTAGATAATATGGTAAATTGTGGTGGAGATAGAAGGCACTGCTAGGGTCTTGCTGGACCTGCCCCTGCCTTAAAGCAGTTCCTCTTGAGCCACACAGCTGATAAGCAGTGAAGCTGGGATTTGAACTGAGACAGGTTTAACCTCAGGCCTGTGTTCTAACAATTCAAAGTACTGCCACTCAACAGATGAAGCAGGTGGGATGAACGCCTAGCACTGGAGTAAGAGTAGAGGTCAGAGGTGGTAGTCTGCTCCCCTGGGTTTGTCTCATACTAAAGAGCTACTGAACTTAGGAAAGCTTTCCTACCACGTGTGAATTCCCTACAGCAGTGCCAACAGGTGGCCAGTCAGTTATCTTTTTGAGTTGCTAGAGTAACGGTGAACAAATCCACAATGCAACCTTCCGGTGCTTGTTAGAAAGTGCTTTTGCTGTGAAAAATTCCTCCAGCTTCTCTTCTGACCATGTCTTAGTCTCCCCAGCCCAATTCTCTGCCTCTGGACACACTGATACTTTTTCATTGTGCTATTAAGATGTGGTCTGGCCACCCAGAGAAGCCTGTGAAGGCTACTCAACCACACGTGGAATAAAATTTTGGAGTTGATGAGCCACCTGTCTGACAGTTGCAAATTTTGTCTTTCTAGTTTCAGAGGATTTCTGTAGAGCTATGGCTTTATTCTTTCAGTGAGAACTACTGGTCCTCATGTTCTTGTGTCTGAGGTAAGCATGGGGTCCTTACAATTCCAAGGAGCTGCAGCCACTTGATGGGCAGTGCCTGTCTGGGGCCTCTGTAGAATGCAGCTGGCACATTCTAGCAGATGCGCAGCCTAAGTAGTTAAGGTCTGACCATATCCCTTCTGTCCTGGATGGTGAAAATACCTCCTTTATGTGTCCTTGGGAGCAGAAACATGCTTTTCAAAAAGTGATGCCTGGGGCTGGCTGGTTAGATCGGTTGGTTAGAACATAGCCTTGTAACACCAAGGTCAAGGGTTCAATTCCCCTTACTGGCCAGCTGCCCCCCTGCAAAAAAAAAACAAACAACAAAAACCCAAAATAGTTGGGCCGGGCTGGCTGGTTAGATCGGTTGGTTAGAACATAGCCTTGTAACACCAAGGTCAAGGGTTCAGTTCCCCTTACTGGCCAGCTGCCCCCCTGCAAAAAAAAAACAAACAACAAAAACCCAAAATAGTTGGGCCGGCCTGTGGCTCACTCGGGAGAGTGCGGTGCTGATAACACCAAGTCCACGGGTTCGGATCCTATATAGGAATGGCCGGTTAGCTCACTGGTTGAGCGTGGTGCTGACAATACCAAGCCAAGGGTTAAGATCCCATTACTGGTCATCTTTAAAAAAAAAAGATTCCTGACAGAGACCCCTCCATAGAACAAGGTATCCAGGAGGACAGGGACAGAACCTTACCTGAGTTTGGTCTGATGTGAAAAGCCTAAGTGGGCATCAAACCTTTGTTTTCCATGAAAACTGTTCCCTGCTTAATGGACTCTATCTGGGAGCAGGGCCAGTCAGTCTGGTCACAGCTGGGAAATCTGCAAACCTGTCACAAGGGAAAGTCACACGTGGGAGAAGCCCTGGTCTAGTCTTATGAGCTTGTAATCTTCAAGATGAGCTGTCACAGACAGAAATGTACACATTACCTTCCTCAGTTGCCTGGAAAGCTCACCTGCTAATTTATCTCCCACATCCCTGCCTTTTCTGCAGAGGCATCTTAGGCCATTTAATGAACTCAGCCCAAAGGGCATGGTCAGCCAGGCCAATAAAGTGTTTAGGGTATGACTTCTCAAGAGTGAGATCTGGCAACAGTGGCAAGGGTAAACCCTCATTTCTGCAGCCATGTAGAATCTAGGTGGTCTTCAAAGGGCCACTGCTAGGGGAAACCATGCATAAGCCCAGGCTCTGGATCTCAGGTGCAGGAAAGACCCACGCTGTAGGCCAGTGGATGGTCCCTAAATGCCCCATCCAAAACTCAGTCTGCAAGAGACACCCTCTTAAACCACAGATGACTTGGCCTGCCCACTCTCTCACTCCAAGGAAATCCAAGAATGACAGGAAATTAGTGAGCTAGTCCTACATTTCTGCTTTCTTAAAAAAATCCTCATTAATATGGTAGTCTTGCCATCATTTAACAAATTATCTAAAAGAGCAAACTCAGCAGCAGGAGTCTCTTTAGAGCTTTACCTGGTAGGAACGATAGGATGACTACCACAAGTCTGATTTTGAATAGTTTATTAAAGGAAAGGTGAAGCATCAGTTTCAAATTGTACAAAAGGAAAAAAACCTCATATTGCAAATGTACAATTTACAGAATTACTAGCAAAACCAATCAAGGAGACACTGAAAATACAAAAATTTGATTGACTTCAAACTGAACTGGAAACCCATCGGTGTAGATATTAAGCCTTTTTTTGTTGCATGGTAGTCTACAATCCTAAGTCAGCATCTGTTTTCCACATGAGACTGTCAAGCACAGGATCAGTCTGTGCATGTGCCAGGGCACCTTCTGGGCTTGCTCCCTGGCCAGAACCACACGCAGGCAGGATTACGGTGGACAGTCCAGTCATTCCTGCCCCTTCACTTCCAGTGAAGCCCACGTTTCTGGGAGAAAGTGAGGCCCCAGCTCCTCTAACTAACTGGAGCCCAGGAATTGTTGAATTAGCAGATAAAACACTTTTGGCGACCAGGTTTTTCCAGAACTGTACAAATGTTGAGAAAAACCAGTTTTGTGTCTGTTTATTAAAAGGATGAATACATTCATCCATTTTGCTTTCCCGCACAAAAGATAATCATTGGGTGCACAGAATTTTAAAAAATGCTTTTCATTTTTGGTAAAAAGGGAAAGCCTCATGATTCTGTTGTAGCTACTTTAAAAATGAGCCCAGAAACGGTGAATGGATTGGTTTAGAAATTGAGGCTTACTTTAAAATCAGAAAGGGAGAACTAAGTGGGCTTTTAAAAACAACAATAGCAGCACGTCATAAAAGTCTAAGCAGAATGTAACTCTAAACCATTGAAGACTGTCCTGAAGATTCATAATTTCTTTCCCCAAAAGAATTATTCTTAATATGCACATTTAACACTGAAATGTAGCTGAATTTTAAGGTAAGCTTAGGAACTTCACCCTCTAAGCACAGACTTCTATGTAGCACATACTTCTATAATTGGTAAACTTAATTCACAAAATTAGCGCATAAGGGTATTAAGTGCATGGGAAGTAGACACAATTATGTTACACTTAAAATTACTTTTGAATGGCAAAGGATTCTTCATGATTATCTCCTTAAGAAAACGAAAGTCTGTGTAACTTGAATTTGGCAGGGCATGAAATAAGTGGTAAAAACAGCAAACTGATAACTTGAGAACCATTTTTGTTGTACTGAGAATACTTTATTTGCTGGTAGAAGTTGCTAAAAATGCACAGAACAAATACCAATAGAAAATGCACTGTATTCGAATCTCCCTATTCTATATAAAATGAATGGTGTACAGCATCTGTTGGAAAAATGGCTGCATGGACATTTCTTATTTTATGCCCACTTATAAATAAAAATAAACCTTTTTATTCAAGAGTATATAAAATCTGGGATTCATATCCATATCCCCAGAGGGTGTGTGTGGTTTTTGGCAGAGATGCACTATGTCAGAATTTCATTTTAGCTTGTCGGTGTTCTGCTCCTTCGTACTTCTGTGTTCCACAAGGTCAACCAAATCCAGTGAGCTCCAAAACACTCTTCGGCAATTAGGATGAGCTGCTTACTCATAGGTTTAATAAAAATGGTTAGCTTTTAAAACATAAAAAGGCAAAATGTTAAAACGGTTTTTAAATTGTACAACAGGAAAATAAAGTTAAAAATATTTTTTTTTTTTACTCAGTGCTGAGTTTTCATAAAACAGGTGTATAACAGTGTTTATTTGACAACTGTTTTAAAAATTTAAAATTTCTTCCCTCCAGAAAAACACACACATCTGTATTGGGATAAGTCCAATATTAGGACACAAATGACTTTTCAGGTCAGTCTTTCTGAGGTGACATTCAATAACATTCCCTTGGGTAATTTACATGCTCCTCTGTCACTGCAAAAAGGGATTGACCTTAATCATTTGATTAAAAAACAAATCAGATCACATCAAAAGTGTTTTTCCCCCATACAAGCTATCACAGTATATAGGCCTCTAGCTCTAAATAATAGAGTTCCAGATTTGTAAATTTTCTTCAGACCTCAGAACATGGGCATTCCAAATCCCTAGAAAAATAATGAGAAACACAATTATTAATTTCATGCATAAACAGGATACAAAAACCATAAATAAAAAGCAGTAATAATTTAACATTTACTGAATCGTCTTCTATGATAGCTGCAGAGTCAAAGAAATCTGGCCTCAGCTCAGCTCTCTCTCGCCGATTTCTTGACGGGGGCTGGAAAGAGAAATTCAGTTACTTAATTTTTTCCTGAGATCACTGGAACAATGAATTGTGATATTCAGCTAGTATTTCTGACAATATCATAAATATACATAATTGTTAAGGGTCAGTTTTGAAAGGAAAAATAGAATGTGGGGCTGGCCATTTAGCTCAGTTGTTTAGAGCATGGTGGTGATAAACCCCAGGGTCGAGGGTTTGATCTTTGTACTGGCCAGTGGCAAAAAAAAAAAGAAAAAAAAAAAAATCTGGTTTTTATATGAAGCAGAGATTTAAAAAAAAAATGAGCAATACGTTTAATTTTCAATTGTCAAATAGATAAAATTATAATGAATAAACTGAACATATAAATGCATATAAATAATTTGGGGCCTACAAACACAGAATATACCTTCCCCTTCAAGTCATGGAGCAACTATAAAATTGATCAAATACTAGGAAATAAACCTCAGTGAATTCCCCAAAGGAAAGCTATTGAGGGGCCGGGGCGGGGTACTGGGAGGTTATACGCCCAACAAGTGACATGATCTCATTTATATTTCTTACAAAAATTTTCATTATGGAAAATTCAAAACATATAAAGCAAAATGTTATAGACTAAATTATGTCCCCCCCATCCCCCACCCCGTACCTCAGATTGTGGCTATATTTGGAAATAAGGCCTTTAAAGAGATAAGGAAGGTAAAATGAGGTCATATGGGTGGGCCTTAATTGAATATGACTGGTGTCCTTTAAGAGGAGACACACATATAGGAAAGATCATGTGAAGAAAAAGGAAGGACAAGGAAAGAGGCCTCAAAATGAAATCAACTCTGATGATACCTTCAATCTTAGACTTCTAGCCTCCAGAATTGTGAGAAAATAAATTTCTGTTTAAGTCACCCAGTCTGTGGTATTTGTTATGGCAGCCCTAACAAACTAATATACAGAGAAAACAATATGATGAACTTCCACATACCCATCATCCAGCTTCACAATTGCCAAACATTTGGCCAGTCTTATTGACTCTCCTTACTGTTTTTTCTTCCCCATGTCATTTCACCTAAACTACTTCAGTATGTTATTTATAACTGATGAAAACTTTTTGAAAAAACATAACCATCATCATTACTGTTCCTGAAAAAATAATTTATTAGTATCTATACCTAGTCTGTATGCAAATTTCCTTATCTTAAACATGTCTTTTTTATACTAAACAGATAAGTTCCATATTCTGCATTTGGTTATTGCTGGAGCAGTCTATATTGTCAGACTCCAATTTAAAATAGAAGAGGCCAGATACACACACTATGATGAAAGAGATATGGAGTGAGTTCTTTTTCAAGAAGATAAAAGGAACCAGTTCCTGTTATTGCCAGAATTCAAAATATGACTGCTTTGAAAACAAGCTTGAAAAAAACATAAGCTCATACAAATGCCCACTTTTGGTCAATGTTATCAACTCCTCACCTCACCCTTACACCAATGCCCTCCCATATTTTAACAAGAAAAATACACTGAATTTCCTTACCAGATCAATAACCATGGTGTCTTCAAATTCCTCATTCATATCTTCTAACTGGCTCCGGGATGACATCATCACATCTTCAAAGATGGGCTCAGCATCTTCCTCCATTAGACCCCGACTGATGAGGAAAGGTACAGTGCGAAAGCTGTCCAGATTCATCCCATCTGGAATCCTAGCTCTTTCTTATAGTAACTCTTCTAACCAATGAAAGCATACCTTCTAATGATGACCTATAGACTATACAAATTATGATACTGAACTCCAAGATAATTAAGGATCATTTCTTTGGTTCACTCAAGATTTCATCTCAACTCATCAGAAGGAAGTATAATTAAATGCAATAATAATAGTTGTTAACATTTATTTAGCCATGTGTAAATTTTCCCAAAATCCTCATTGGTGCTATTATCCCAATTTTACAAATGAGGAACCTGAACTGTATGATACTGAACTCCAAGATAATTAAGGATCATTTCTTTGGTTCACTCAAGATTTCATCTCGACTCATCAGAAGGAAGTATAATTAAATGCAATAATAATAGTTGTTAACATTTATTTAGCCATGTGTAAATTTTCCCAAAATCCTAATTGGTGCTATTATCCCAATTTTACAAATGAGGAACCTGAACTGTTTTAGAGCTTGCCCAAGGCCACGTAGCTAGCAAGTGGCAGTGCTAAGATTTAAATGCTGAAAGCCTCAATAGCCCATGCCTCCATTTCTATCCTATGCTGCATAGCATATCCAGAATTATAATTTTAACTCCTAAGCCCAAACATCAGAGATACCCAAGTCATTTCACAAAATGACTAGCATTATAGTCGTTATGTTCTTGTCATACTCAAAGAAATACTTACACAGCATGCCTTACTCCAGTTCTCACTTTCATGTAGTTCATTCCTGTTCTGTCCTTCCGATTTAAGTCTTCTAACTTCGGCTGGCCTAACCAAGAGATCTGCATCTGAGGACTAAGAGAGGGTACTTTTATTCATTTTGTGGCAGCAGATGATGAATTTAGCTAATCAGCCCCATGCTAAGAAAGCCACAGTTGGCTGGCTTAATCCCCACATAGGGGGATTTAGCTGGATTTATTCAGGGGCCTTTGCAAAAAAGGCAATAAGTTTCCCCAAACTATCTCTAAGTCTCCGAGAGAAGCTGGCTGGGGCTAGTTGTAAGATGCTTAAACTATCTGTCAGTCTCATTCCTCAAATCTCTGCCAAACAGGGTCACTTTTCAGACCTCTGTCTTGGGTTGCTGCCCTACTCAGGTGGGGAAAGAGCCCCTAAAGATCAGAAATGATGTTGGCCTGGCAGGTAAAAACTCTCAAGAGTTAAAGAAAGGATGGAACACACCTTTTCTCAGTCTTTATGTACAAATCTTCACCTGTACTCTATACTTAAAGGCACATTGGAACTTGCATAAATATGCCTCTTGGTAATTTTACAAAATGCGTACCTCTAGCAGATAAAATCTGTCACATGAAGTTCTAAGTAGCTGTCTTTATATAATGTGTGGCTACCACCTTGATTAAACCTATAAACCTAGAGCAGGGAAAAGAAGACACACCATGGCCAGAAGGGACTAACAAGTGGTAATACGGTCAGGGAAGCAAGGCAGGCTGTTCAAATAAGGAGGAACATACCCTGTAGGAAGAGGGCTGGGGATACTGGTGAGGTCACCACTAGGGATGCTGATCATAAGGCAAACCACCTTCTAGGACACTCAGCAGCACAAGAATGCCCAGTTTTGCAATGGCTGAAAATGATTATCCTCTCAGGTTTTTTGAAGAAAGGTAGACCCTTTAGAGCAAAGGTGTCTTATGAAGACACAGGATTTGAATACTAATTCTGACCCTTCCATTTTCAACTACTACGCTTGTTGAGCTCAAGTGAGAATTCTCTTATCCATTAGAGTAATTCACAGCATCGCCCTACAAGTGAGGAGCTAAGAGTTCAAAACTGGATAGAAAATAACAAAAAGTTAAGGTTTTTATAGCAAAACTCACACCATCACCTTGCCTTCTCTACAATTTTCAGAGCTCTGAGTACTAGAAAGCATTTTAATTGCTAGTGTGGGGAAAAGGTTAAGACCTTGATTCTCTTGTAGAGAGCAACTATTCTTAGAATTTTCCAAATAAGATCTTAAAAATTCTTAATCCATGAACAGTTTAAAATATAAATGTAATCAAGACAAAATACTGTTAATTAAATAAATGGATGATAAAGGGAATACACAATCTATTTATCTGGTGTTCAGATTACTGACAACCTGGCAGAGGCTCTCCCAGGCTCTCTTGCTAAAGAAGTAACCTGCATCTTCTTGGCAAGTCCCAGAGAAGAAACAGACCTGCCCAATGAACATGCAAACTCCAAATGAAATTAGCACTTAGTGTGACATCACACATTTAAAGGTCAGTGAACTTTGAGGAACTGATGTCCTTAACAATGTGTCCAGACTTTTTATAGATCTTCTCATACAAACCACCCTCTATTTGTGACTTTGTTTTCTCACTGACCGACCAGCAGTATTCTATGATGACCAAATAAAAGTTTTTCTTAAATAGTTTTACTTTCTTTAACAGTTAAGGGTTTTATGCCAAGAAAACAAATCTTTACTACTTACTTGTGTAAAAAGTCTGGTTCAGAACCATGTTCAGACTCAGGTTCCTGAATCTGCTCTCCCATGGGCCGGCTATTCTCCCGCAGTACAGTGGAAGTAAGCTGTGGTGTTGGCAGGGGGCCAGGAGTCTGAATCATGGTATCAGTCCTGTTTAGCCACGTGTTGTCCAGACTTTCATCTGTAAAATTCCAGTTAGAATCAGAATGTCACAGGTGAACTCTGGTGGCAGTTATAGACTTGAAGATCACAGCTCTGCGGTTACACTGCCTAATTTTAATCCCAGTTCCACCACTGGCTTGCATGACTTTGTGTAAGTTATTAAACTTCCAAAGTTCTGTTTTCTCATATATAAAATGGGGATATTAGTAGCTATCTGCACAGTTGTAAGTATTAAATGAGGTAATGTACATCAAATGTTAGCTATCATCCCATTATCTTCTCTTCCAAGTCGAAGAGGGGGGCCAGTGAGAGACTTCTCCAACTTTCCTTTGCTCAATAAGGGGCCCTAGGCAGCAGCACTAAAAGTCTGGCTGGCCTTTAAGGAGAAATCAGCAAATCCTCTTGTGCAACAGGATACTGGTCACCAGAGAAATAATTCTTTTTGCCAGGTTATACACTGGAGATAGGTTGAGAGGCTCATTGTTTTCATGCCTGAAAATCCTTTTGGGAAGTCTTCCCTGATCACCCTACCTGGCACTCACTTACTCTTTTAACTTCCAGAGGAAATATATCATTCCTGCTCACTTAGGACTTAATTACACACTCTCCTGTGTAAGCAGGTGATATGTCATGTGTACATGTTGTCTCTGTAATTAGATATAAGTTCCTTCAAGAGGTCAGGAACTGTTTTTTCCTTCTTCTAAAGATGGTTTATAAATATGTGAGCAGATTAAAGCGTTATTTGCATACCTAAACTATCCTAATAAAATACTGCATAAAGTTTCTACCTATAAAAATTCTAAATTGTTTTAATATGAGAGGACTTTTTTAAAAAGTATGTTTTTCCTTCTGAAGAATTTTAGTCACAAAGTACAATATGAATCCCATTATTTTCTTCTCTAAGTCTCAGAGATGTGTGTGTGTTAGATTCCTCATGTGCATCAAATGTTCCTTCTCTCTCAGGTTTCCAATATTTTGTCAGACACATGTACATCATAAACTGGCTTTACCGTCCATGGTAATACAATTTTAGTCACAAAGTACAATATGAATCCCATTATTTTCTTCTCTAAGTCTCAGAGATGTGCGTGTGTTAGATTCCTCATGTGCATCAAATGTTCCTTCTCTCTCAGGTTTCCAATATTTTGTCAGACACGTGTACATCATAAACTGGCTTTACCGTCCATGGTAATACCTGCTCATTGGCTGGTTAAGTTCATTCCATTGATCTAAAGCTCAGTACCAGATCTCTTCTTAGTTAATCAACAAAGATGTGTTTTAACATCTATTCATACCACTTCTCATTCAACATTTAATCCAAAACTTTATTCTCTGTCACACTCAAAATTTTACGGTCAAAAGATTGGTATCTTTTAGGTTCTTAATCTGGTAAACTCATCTGTCAGCTGTACTGTATGTGATTCCAGAAAAATCTTTCTGGATTCACTAAAAGTTTGGTCACTCCCTGTATGTTCCCAGGGCCTCCTGTGTTTGGCCCTTTAGAACACTGACCAAGCTGAACTAAAATTGTCTTTTTCTCTTCTTTGCCTTCCCATCTGCACTATGAACTCTTTTATCGATACCTAATCTCTAACCTTTAGGCACAGTTCTTAGGAAAGTGCTTGGTGGAGACTTAATGAATACCTTCAGGAAGAACTCACTCTTCTTGAATAGATTCTTCTACCCCTTTACATTCCTCAATGAAAAAACACTTTTTGTAATGCTCTCTCATCTTCATCCCAAACAGATGAAACTCTGCTGCCTAAGGGTTCTGGGCATGCAACTTTTCTTAGTCATTTTGTAAATTTCAAATTGACACAAAGCAAGTTCTTTCTTTGCAATTTAACAATTACCAAATTAGGTTATCTGGTCCATATATGCTTCCGTTAGTCTTAAAGATGGTAATATACTTGACTATTCTGTTAGTGAATTATATATGGTTATGTAAATTCAATAAGCTTTAAGTTTCTTCTGTATAAATTTGGGTAACAGTGTTGAACTCAGAGTTGATCAATAAAACATTTTTATGGCATTTACTATGTACCAGGGGCTGACCTAAGTGCTTTACAAGTATTAGTCAAATAAACAATTAAATGATATAGTACACATAAAACACATTCCTAGTACATAGCAAAGATTTGATGAATGTTGGCTAATAAGAATATTACATCTAAGAAAAGCTATGAGTAGGAAAAAAGAACATATATAGATGTGGGGCACACTGATAGAGGCTGCTCTAAAAGGTATTTTCAAAGGGAAGTCACTAGAGTCATTCTTCATAGAAAAGTCCAGGATCCTATAGTACAAAGACAGGATTTTATACAGTCATTCTCTGGACTAAAAGGACTTTAAGTCCCAAAGCTGAAACTTGAAAGGAAATCTTAAGCTCTGTTAAGATTTTGTTAAACTTAACAATTCTTTTCTTCTCTTTGAAATATAGATGCTGCCTAATCTACTGACTGATGCCAGCTAAGAGGAATTACTATATGATGATGATAACATTCTGATAATAGCAGCTAACATTTATTGAATGCTACCTGTGTGCCAAGCACTGTGCTCAGTACTGTGTGTGTACTAAGTGTTTTATTTAGAACATCTTATTTAATATTCACAGTAACTGGCAGGAAAGGAACTCTGATCATCCTTCATTTGGTCAATGACTGAAGCGTAGAGAAGTTAAATAACATGCTCAAAGGTCATATAGCTGATAAATGAGAAAGTCAGGTTTGAATTTTGGAACTCTGATTTTAAAGTTTGTGCTTTTCATCACTAATCAATATTGCCTCCACAATAATGAAAGAAACATTACATTTAAATTGCAATTAATTTTGCCACAAATTTCAGCAAAACCTTTGGTGAGTCACTTTTTCAGGGAGCTGAGGTAAGATGTTGAAAGATGAATAGAAAGTTGTAAAAAGGAGCAAAAGAGCAGGAATTTAGACCACTGCCCTTCTCTCTTGGGTTGTAGGAAATTTATTGGGAGAATCATGGAGAAGGGGGAAGATTATCTGAAGAAATAAGCATTTTTACTTGAAGCTTCTCTCAGTAAGTTAAAGAGGAATGCTTTGTTTTAGTAGAGCGATTTCAGTCTTTTTGAATGGGAATACCTACTATTGGTCAGATTTTCTTGACAATTCAACTCCCCATTCCCCATAGTCCAAGAGGTTTACAAAACCAGATTTGGCCATTACTGTCTAACTGTACAAAAATAAATTATCCAACCAAGCAGTAGAACCAGAAAGCTATTCTGGTATATTCAATTTGCTGCAGAGGTCTACCCTCAAGTTATCAGTATCCCTCTTGTATTAGGATGAATTTTAACAGAAAACCATTAAGACTACCTTATTTTAAAATTTCAATGTATTTAGAGGCATATGGTATGGGAATCAGTTTTACAGACCTTCATAATTGTTCTTCTCTTTTTCTCTGTACCTATCTTTCCTCTACCCTTTGTTTCTTCAACTTCTTTTTCCTTGGTCCTTTTCTGTCCCACTTTGTCTATTCCAAACCTCTTGTCTGAACATCTCAGTATGTAGCAAATATACAAGGAAATCATGTGCCTAACACTATTATCCTGCTTCAACAGATTATTTGCCGCTTAATTTATTCCTATAAAACCATGCAAACTGTTTGTCTCGTAGCATAAAGGCAGACTTACCTTCTACTCTTTTTTTGTGAAGTGGGGGTCGTCCTTTCTTATTCCTTACTGAGGAGGTTTTGCTGCTGCTGCTTCCACTATTCACAGACATTCTATCATCTTCACCCCCAGTGACTAATGAATTTCTATAGGAGATAAGTGGAAGCCAAACATCTTCCCTCCTTTCCATCATCTGCTCAGTAAGGAATTTCTCTAGGTAGGAATGACTAGAAACACAAAAGGACAGCAGTGATTTTCATGGAAGCAGTTCATGCATCACTTATTTAATTTTTTCTTAACCCGAGGCTCTCTTTCTGTAGGTTGTGAAAAATCTCTAAGGACACACATTAAACCATGGGGTCACCTTTGAAAAGAGAGAGACTGAGAATTTAAAGTTTTGCTTCACATATTCCTGGAATATTTTTAAACAAGAGAATGTATTACTAAGGTTATGTGTGTATTCTTTCCTGTATTTCTTCCTTTGCTTATAAACACCCATGTTCAAAAAAAACAGGAAGTTTGGCTCAAAAAGTTTATTTTATTTCATTTTTTAAAGTGTTCAAACCAGGGCAGAATTTCTGGAAGGAGGGAATGAGGATGGTAAGAACAAGAGTTTATAGCATCTGAACCATAACCTGTTCCCTTCCCTTGTCCCCTTCTCCTCCAGTACAGTTCCGTGTTATGGCAACTTGACCCCATCTTCTTAGTGACCTGCTTAGGGTCACTAAGATGATGTGGTCACCCTCTCTCTCTCTAGCTCCCAGTCTACAGTGCCACCCTGAATGAAAGGAGCACACCATTTGCATTTCTCATCACCCCCTAGCCTTATGTTGCAGGAGCTCTTTTCTGAGCAATGAGGAACAATGAGGTTCCTTTTTCCTACCCAGTCTCCACTTGTGGGGTAGAAACTCTATCCTAGGCACAGCAGGCTGAGAATACTGGGGCTCTGAATGTCTCACCTCAACTCCCTCGTAAAGTGGAGGATCCACACCTGGAGAGGCAAACAGAGAACCAGGGGTAACCTGCCTTTCTTTATGCAGGGGTATTATTTTGGGAGAAGAAGGATGCTGTCCCATCCCATCCTATTCCTCCTTTTTCCCCCCTTCAGAGACATGAAAGTTATAAGTTCTGCCCAGGAGCTGAGAGACTGTAAGGAAGAAATTCTTCAGCTCTGTTGGGAAGGGGACTGACTATTTGGAATGGAGCTGAGATAGGGTAACCTCCAGAGTTATAAGTTCTGCCCAGGAGCTGAGAGACTGTAAGGAAGAAATTCTTCAGCTCTGTTGGGGAGGGGACTGACTATTTGGAATGGAGCTGAGATAGGGTAACCTCCAGTTTCATAACATATGCAATTCGCTTCTGTGAAACTGCTTGCTGTGTGACAAGGTAGATTAAGTTTAAATTGCTTAGAAAATGTTTTTTGAAAGTCCCTCTCAGCTCTTCAGCCCCCTTGTTAAAGTTAAAAGCTAAATATTAGCCTGCACTTAGAGAAGTTTGAATTTTTTTTTTCCTTTTTGTCTTTTTTACTGACCGGTAATGGGATCGCAACCCTCAGTGTCGCGCCCGTACCGGGGACTGGCAACGGGATCGCAACCCTTGGTGTTGCGCCCGCACCGCGCTCAGCCAGTGAGTGGGAACCGGTCTCCACATGGGATCCGAACCCGCGGCGGGAGCGCCACCGTGCTCCCAAGCGGCGCACTCTCCAGTGCGCCACCGGGCCGGCCCAAGAAGTTTGAATTTTGTTTGCTGTTCCCCACCCAAGCTGCCCCTGAGCAATTAACTGGCTTGTTTCAGTTTCTGTTATCAGCTTGCGCTAGGCCTCCCCAAACCCCCTCCTCATGCCAGGAGGGTATGTGTGTATGTGTGTGACTATATGATAACTGTAAGTGTGTGACTATTTGATAATTTTAACTGTGTGACTGATGTAAAAATGTGCCTTTAAAAAAAACCCCTCTAAACTTCAAGTCAGTGCTGCTCTCTTCCGAGACTTTCTTGGAGGGACAGTCGCCAGCCAGCCAATAAAGACTGCCTTTTAAATACTCAATTGGGTATTCTGGTGCCTTTTCCATGTGGCAGCCTCACAACAGAGCATACAGAATTCCTTTCCTAAGAGCATTGCTGAAATCAATGGAGAGCTTGATGGACAGCAAGTAAGAGGGTGCTGATAAGCTCTTTGATACCAGCAGCAAAAAATGACAGAGCAGAGCAGCCAGAAATTTAACAGAGAGAACCAGAGAAAGAGGTAGCTAAGAAGAACCCTCCTGGGATCACAATCAGTCCTGGGAGTTGGATATGTTAATTAGTTTGACTGTAGTAATCATTTTACAACATAGATTTGTATCAAAACATCATGTTGTTATAAACCTTAAATATATACAATTTTTATTTTTTAAAAAAAGGTAGAAACTGCCTCCACTCCCTCTCCGCCAAAAACACTGATTTTTTTATTTCAGGAACTCCAATTGATTTGTTTGAATACACCTTACCAAATCCTCTACTGTGCTCATATTGTTCTGTGACATGCATTTTTACTTTTAATCTTAGCACTGGAAGAATGCTTTATCACCAATCCATGGTGGTTATAAACAGGCTGCTAGGCTAACTTGGCATTTCATATGCTTATTCTTATATAAAAGAAGGATAATATTTGTTGTTATTGCTCTGCTTATGTAATTGCTGTGCTTAAAGAAAGAATATTTTGTTTACAGTTTTCAAATTTGATTTTATTCATTAAATAGATTTGGAACAGTAGAAAAAAATCAAAATCAAAACGCTGGGAGGTGGGAAAGCTACGCACATATGCTAAACTGTACCCACTCATGGGCAAACAGGGCAGGGAACAGGGTAGACTTGAAAGCATTCCTCAAGCCACAGGCAGATTTATCAACATAGGGAGAAAGGCTCACTGGCAAAAGGGGCTTAAGCATAATCTCTAATCCAAGACTGGCTGAACAATAAACTATTGTAACCCAGCAGCAACTCCTAGGAAGTCAGGGGTAAAAATAAAATCACATGCTTTCCTGGTTGGAAGATTGTGCATGCCCAAGGCTGCTCCTATCAGGAGCAATGAGACGATTCTTCCAAGCTGCTGGTTAGTCACTGGCTTAAAACGTGGGGCAAAAAAGCAAACACCCTGAATTATGATAGTAGCCTTCAAGTCACACAAACATCTAACAGTAAATGGTAAAAATCTAACTGGCTAAAGGGGCTTAAGCACAACCTTTGGTCAGTAAGTAGCTTATGCTGACCCAAGGGTGATCCCTAGGTAGTAAAACCAAATCATAGAAACAAGGGAAAAAAGATGTGAGTATGGACACCAGAGACTTGCCAAATTTGATGAAAAACATTAATTTACGCATCCAGAAAGCTCAAGGAACTCCAAATAGGATAAATGCAGAGAGCCACACCCTGACTAATCCTAAGAAAAATGATGAAAGCCACAGATAATGAGAAAATCTTGAAAGCAGTTAAAAGTAACTTACTATATATAAAAGAAATCCAATAGAATTAAGAGGTGACTTCTCATCAGACACAACGGAGGCCAGAAAGCAGTGGGATGACATAGGCAAAGTGCTGAAAGTAAAAAACCGTCTAACAAGAATCTTACATCCAGGGCTGGCTGCTTAGCTCACTTGGTTAGAGCATGGGTGCTGGGGCTGATAACACCAAGGTCAACAGTTTGGATTCCTGTACAGGCCAGCCACCAAAGAAAAATAATAATAAATAATAAAAAAATTAAAAGAATCTTATATCCAGCAAAACTTTATTTCAAAACTTAAGACAAAACAGAAACTCCCAGATAACAAAACCTGAGAGAATTTGTTGCTAGCACACCTGCCTAATAAGGAATACTTCAGGAAGTTCTTTAAGCTGAAAGCAAATGATACCAGAGGGTAATATGAATTTACGTGAAAAACAGTGTCAGTAAAGATAATTACTAGGTAGTTATAAAAGACAATATAATTACATATTTACTTATCCTTCCTTCTCTTACCTGATTTAAAAAATAATTGTATAAAACAATATGTATATTACTGTATTGTTGGGACAATATAGAAATGTAATAGATTTGACAATGAGCACAAAAGAGATGGGTGGAGAAAAGCTGTATTAGAGTAAGGGAAAGATACCAGATGGTAATTTGAATCCACAGGAAGAAATGAAGAGAATCAGAAATGGTAAATGGGAAGGTCAATATAACAAACTCTTTAAATGTATACTTGCTTTCCCTTCTTTTCTCAGCTACTTTAAAAGACATAAGATTATATGAAGTAATACAGCGATGTATTGTTGGGTTTGTAACATACATAGATAAACCATGTATAACAATAAGCATAAAAAAGGGAGGGGGAAAATGGAGTTATACAGAAGTTTCTGTATTTCTTTAGACTTAAGTTAGAATAAATCTGAAATAAACTTTGATAAGATGTATACTGTAAAGCCTACAGAAACCACTAAGAAAATAACTAAAAAAATATAACCAAAGATCACTAAAAGAATCTAAACGTTATGCTAGAAAATATACACTTAATGTAAAAGAAGGTAGTAAAGGAGAAAGACCACCACCATCACCACCCAGAAGACTTATGGAAAACAAAAGTATAATAGTAGAGACTGCGAGGTCGGATTAAAAACAAAAAAAACATGATCCAACTATGTGCTGTCTACATGAAACACATTTAGATTCAAAGTCACAAAGACAGAAAGTGACAGGATAGAAAACATACCATGCAAACTGTAACCAAAATAGAGCTAGAATGGTTATACTAACATATACTAATACTATAGGCAAAATAGACTTTAAGACAAAAATTACTAAAGACAGAGAATGACATTTATTTATTTATTTATTTATTTATTTATTTATTTATTTATTTTTGGTCCTTTTTGAGACCGGCCGCACCGTGCTCAGCCAGTGAGCGCTGTGAGCGAACCAGTCATCCCTATATAGGATCCAAACCCACGGCGGGAACGCTGCTGCGCTCCCAGCACCGCACTCTCCCAAGTGTGCCACGGGCTCGGCCCAAGAGAATGACATTTTATAATAAGTCAATCAATCAGAAAAACATAACTATTAAGAATGTATATACACCTAACAACAGAGCCCCAAAACACATGAAGCAAAAACTGACAGAATTGAGGGGACAAATAGATAATTCAATAATAATAGTTAGAGGCTGATGACAGAAACAAAGCAAGTTTCTAAAAGAAACCTTGCCTTGGGCTG